AAAAAAAAAAAAAAAAAAAAAAAAAAAAAAAAAAAAAAAAAGATTCGGCAACACAAGCAAGACCTTCTGTCAGATCAGCAAGCTGAGCGTTTTACATCCGAAGTAATTTCTCTTTTTTGAAAACAGAAAAAAAAAAACTTTTCCCAGCGTCTAAGATGTAAATACAAGGTTCTCGTTTATGGAACCGAAGAAGCCTTAAGGTCCCCTTCAGAGAGTCCTTATGTGAAGAACTCCACACACTGCGTTTGCACGCGGTTTCGTTAAGCTGTTTTCTGACTAGAGATGCGAGGATGCTTCAGAGGTAAGGAACACAGAGAAGAGAAGCCCCGACACACAGAAGCAAGATCACAGTTAGAAAGGAATAGTCTGTGCACCGCCTCGTGAGACATCTTTTTTCCACTTCTAAAAAGTTACAACAACCTGCACTGCTTCCTAGTTCGAAAGGGTGATTGCGGACACACCTCCAGCAAAAGAATGTCCTTACCGACTCTGCACCAGGCTCCGAGCCAGGGGCCAAGAGAGGGCTGGGCTGGAGGACAGCCCTTTCCGGTAATGCTGGGACAGTGCCTCGGTCAGCAGGGTTCAGGGGCACTGCAGAGGCTCCCCTCGGCGACCCCGGAGCTAGACAAGCGGACAGGACACCTGTCACACTGCCCCGGGCTCCGGGCTCCGCAGGCGCCCGCCGCAGCTCTATCCTACTGCTCCCCTCTCTGGGTGTCCCTCTTCCTGCAGGGTTCACCACTAGAAACACGCCAGTCTCCAAAGCTGAACCGCTCGGCTGGGGGCGCATGTGCATCAACGTGGGAACCGGGTGCCCGCACCACGGAGCTCCCAGCGGCCGCCCCTTCGTCCCTGGCCCTGCCCCCGAAAGGGGTACGGAGCGACCGACCTACCTGGGGGACACCTGCCGCCTCTCGCCCGCTCCCTCTGGCTGTCTGGGCCTCGGTCCTCGAGGACCGGGAAGTGAGGGAAGGGGATGTCCCGAGCTTAGGGCCCGAACTTCCCGGTTGCCAGCACCGCCCTGTGCGGCTGGCGCCGCCTGCAGGGGTCTGCACAGGGAGCTAAGTGTGGCACCAAAACTTGGCAGGAAACCCAGAACTGAGAGGCCAGTGGCTCCATGTGGGATTTCCCCTAGGCTACCAAAAAGAAAGCTGCGTCCCAGCTGGCTTTTTAGCTGAGTCGAGCACCCTACTGCAAGGGTTCTGGCAGGAAGGAAATATTTCAAAGGGACACTTACACTCTCCCTTTGGTTAATAGATTATTTTAATAATGAGCCTCAAGAAATTGGAATTCTCCCCCCGCCCAGGTGTCTCCCGCTGCGAGAAGTTAAAGGTTGCAACCTCATGCCAATCACAGGAAGTTTTTGTCAGCACACCATGGGGGAGAGACTGGAAGCCTGGACAACCATGGCTGAATGACTAGAGGTACCACGCCTTCATCAAGACCGTCTGCTTATGGATAGATACTTCTTGCCATACCTAAACTTAAATCTGTGATAGGCTGATGGACTTAGGATGGGGGTGCCATGTGCCTCTTTACTTAGTCGTCTTACCGATGTGGCTACATTGAATAGATATTTCTCTGCTCTCGACGCTTATTCATTGAAGTAGCTTGTTGATGCCCAATAGGAAAGGCTAGCTAGCCAGGGCTGCCAAGACCCAGGTTCTAACCCTAACTCCTCCAGTCACAAAACCTCGCCTTGCCCTCGAACACACCTTTTGAACTCTTTTTCTGATTTCTCTCCATTCTCAAAAGCTGCAACTTGGGCTCCCTCTTTTCAACACTGTCTCCCTGCCAGTATATCTCTAGCATCCATTTCTGCTCAGCATCTGTTAAAAGAGTCTACTCTCCAGTCTACCATCCAGACCTGCACCACAGCATTTTGTCTAGGACACGACTGGATAAGGACAGCACAGATTTCTTTCTTTCCTCCACCCAGACCAGTCCCTGCTGGTGTGCTGAACAACGGCCACCCATCCTCCCTCCTAGCAGGAAGAGTCCAGGCTCTCACTTCTACCTGTGTCTTTGAAGCTAAGTACTTCCCTTTCCCTGGCCCATGTTTGCATCTCAAGTGATTCTAAAAACTGCCTAGACAGAAGACATGGCTCTATCTTCCTCAGCAAGGAATAATTGTAAGCGGAAAACCTCCTACGTTTAAACAAGTTAATAAACCCCCTTTGTGCCTATGATTCCATTTGACCTTTGCAAAGGGAGATCAGACACAGAGCAGGTATCCTTATTCCTGTTTACCTAAAGAAATGTCCTGTAAATCTAAGTGAGATTTGAAGCCAGACTTTTTTCTTAAACCAAGGGTTCTCTTCTGTCCTCAGTTTCACATCTCATCCTTCTTAAGGCTCTATAGAGAGTTACACATGCCTTCTCTCTGTCTCTCTGTGTGTCTCTGTCTGTCGTCTCTCTCTCTGCCTCTGTCTGTCTGTCTGTCTCTCTCTCTGAAAGCTACATCCTTGAACCTGCTGGAACAACCTGAAAGACCTCTTCACATACACACATGCCTGGGCGCTGTACAAGACAAGGAGATTCAAAGAAGGGCCAATGTGTTGGTGCCTTAAAACCTTTTCATGCTGAGCATGGTGGCACATACCTTTGATCCCAGCCCTAAAGGAGGCAGAGGCAGGCGGATCTCTGTGAGTTCGAGGCCAACCTGGTCTACAAAGCAAGTTCCAGGACAGCTAGGGCTGTTACACAGAGAAATCCTGTCTCGAAAAAAAACAAAAACGAAAAGTCGCTTCATGGGAGAGAGGATATGTTTGAAAGGGATTTGCTTCTAGGACAAAGAATGCACCCAGAGAAGGTACCATTGGGCTCAAGTATGATTTGGTTTTCCAATCTCCATGGGTTTAGTCTTTGAAAGAGTAGGTGACAATCATGTTCCTCCTTGGCAAATCCAGACGTTGTGAAGATAAGAAGACTCCCAGAAAGCCCTATCCTGCATTTGCTGCCATCTAAGCTGTGAGTTTGGATTCCAAAGTGACTTCTTACGGATTTCTAACTGACCCTTCCAAAATCAGTGAAACTCGATCAGTAAGCAGCAGTGCGAATTCGAGAGCGAACTGTGTTCTGCAAAGTCGGATTCTACAGGCTGACCACGTGGATAAGCATTCCGGCTCTGCAGCAGCTGCCTGCCTTCCTTGGATTTCTGGGACACTTGAGCAAACATCTTTCAGCCCCCTTCCCCTAACGCTGCAAACTGCTCTTCTTTGTGCTTCTCTCGTTGAACTTCCCAGGTCCACTGAGTTTGCTCATTTGTAATCCTAAAAGCAAAGCTGAGGAAATGCCATTGATTTCTGCCTGGTGTGGTGGCTCACACCTATAATCTCAAGATTTGGGAGGCCAGGGAAGGAGGAGTGCAGGAGTATTAGGCCAGCCTGGGCTACATGAGATGCCATCTCAAAACAAACAAAACCATTCATTTATCCACAGATTCTTAGCAGCAACATCTACATACGGTGTAGGAGACCCTACAGTGATGGCTAGCCTTGACTATTAACTGCACTGGTAGGTGCCAGTCACCAACAAAACACACCTCAGGTATATCTCTAAGGCTGCTCCAGAAAGGATTGACATGTGGGAGAACTATTTGATGTAGCCATATCAGGAAGACGACCAAATAAAGAGGGGCATGACACCCCCATCCTGTTGGGATTCTACCACCACTCCAACTCCAGCTGCGTGACCGTACATGCACAGTTCAGGAGCTAAGCAAAGGGTCTTGTGTCTTACATCATCAGTGTGCACTGGTGATTACATGCATGCAGCATGGTCACACAATCAGCGCATGCGTGGTGTAGCTCCATAAGCCTACCTGTGCCTTAAAAGGCCGAACACAGACTCCTCCTCTCTCTCTGTTCTGTTCTCTTTCCCCCATTATCTCTATCTTTCTCTCTCTCTGCACGTGCGTCTTCCCCACTCCTGGTTCTTTTGTCCCCCCACCCCCCAATAAAGCTCTGATCCTGGGTTTTTTCATGGCTCATGCCTTGTGACCTTTCTGCACGGAAACAAGCGCCGCTTATCATTTTTAACACATTCTAAACCCACCAGCCTGTCACAGGTTTAAGTTTAGGTATGGCAAGAAGTACCCAAAAGTAGGCAATCTTGGTCAAGGTGTGGCACCCCTAGTCATTCAGTCATCATTGTGCAGGCTTCCAGTCTCTCCCCCATGGTGTGCTGACAAAAGCTTCCCATGATTGGCACGAGGTCGCAACCTTTAACTTCTCCCAGCGGGGGAATTCCAATTTCTTGGGACTTCATTGTTGCAATAACCCAATAACCAAAGGGAGAGTGTAAGTGTCTCTTTAGAATATCTCCTTCCTGCCAGAACCCTTGCAGGAGGGTGCTCGACTCAGCTAAAATGCCAGCTGGGACTCAGCATAAACTTCCTTACCCAGATCTCTGCTGGACTTCCTCTTGGCCTGGAGCCAGACCTACATCATTCTCTTGTGCCATCTGTAGAAATGGTGTCACAGCCCCACCCCACCCTTAGCCAGCTCCTTGGAGGATGTTTATTTTTTTCAAAGGCTCTGAGAGACTCTTAAGCATGCATCTAAAAATGTATTGTTCAAGTTGTGACTGAAGGAAAGGTTATGGTGTGGCATCCGGAAGATCCTGAGTTAAATTTGGCCGCCTGATGCTCCACTTTATACTAATGACCTTTCCCACTGCTATGACAAAGGGACCTAATGAAGGGAAGGGTTCCTTTGGCTCACAGTTTGAGACTGTGCTCTAAAGGGTGAGGAAGGTATGGCAGCAGGCATGTGAGGCTGCTGGTCACGCTGTGTCCATCGGCAGGAGGCAGAGAGGTGAATGCTGGTGCTCCACTCACTTCTCCTCGGTATTCAGTCTGGGGTCCCATCACCTGGAACAGTGCTGCCCATGTTCAGGGTGGGTCTGCTCTCTTGAGTCAAGCCTCTCTGGAAATGTCCTCCGGGTGTGCCCAGAAGTGAGTTTCCTATATACTTCTAAGTCAGTAGTGTTGACGAGGAAGATTAACCAGAACACACTCCTTCTGGCCACTGGTAAGTGTTCAGGGAAAAAAAAAGTGCAGATGTATGGAGATGGAGGTGAGCCAGTGTTTCTAGACCAAGACGCATCTTCAGAGTGTAGCAATATTTTGCACTAAGTTCAAGGCATCGAGTGAGTGCCAGGCATCCCTTTGGAGTGAACGCTTCAGTTTTCAACCATCAAAGTTGCATCAAGACTCCAAGCCTAACTTTAAATATGTGTCAGAGATGAAGTCTCCAGTAGGTCTTGACGCTTTCAACTGTGAGGCTCCATAGTTCCCATAAGAGCAACTGCAATCCTCAGTTCAGCCACCTTGAAAAATCCTCCACGGCTAACCTCTGCTGCTGCTATGGCAGCCTCGGCAGCTTCCGTTAAGCCTGGGCTGGGCCTGCTGTCCAGTGTTCCGTCACCCTGGTCTTCCTCCAGCAGCTGATTTACGGGTCCCGCTGTTCTGCTGCTTCAGGCTCTCTCTCTGTTGGTGTTCACTGAACCGATGGTAAGGCTTTCTTCTGTTTCCTTTCATCCTGTGGGAGGGATGGCCGTTTTCACTCTTGGAAGTTTGGAAGACTCAAAACTTCAG